TCACCAGCGGTAATTAGTGCAAGTCACGCCCAGGTCGAAACTCATCCTTGTGATTTCCATGAGAAGAGCGCATTGAATTATGGGAAAATCAATGTTTATCAACATAAATGTTGCACATGAGCAGCACGACCACTACCGCCATTTAAAACTACTCATCTGAGCAAAGTATTATTATTGTTTTTAATTATGATGATAGATTTGAATTAAACTGGTCTTCATGAATAACTTTTAGGGTCAAGTTGCTTACAGCGGGCCCCAGATTACACTGAAAACCTCAATCTTTCTACCAATCTCCCTTGGAACTTTTTAATATCCTTACCAAAATTGCCAGCCATGGTGTAGGCTGATTATGGAGGTTTCGGGGCATGGATGAATAAATTAAGGTAGAGATGTAGGTTCGTGGGCACTTGGGAGTGACATTTTTTTTTTTTTTGCTTTTTATTATCCAAACAGTCTTGGCTATAGACTGTTAAAATTTTGTAGAATTGTGAATAGTGGGGCATACTCAAAAAACGATTTTTAAATATAGATAACAGGTGCAAAATTATCTCTTTTGAATGCTTAGCAAGATTTAGCAAGGCTGTACATAAATAATAAAAAAGAAACATGGTGAAAAAAAGAAATGACGGGATCTCCATATATTTAACTTTTAACAAAACAATAATACATTTAAATTTGGAACTGTTATAGCCACTTTAATTATGAGCATTAGCAAACTTCTTACTGAGTGAATTGTTATGCAAATTAGCAATTATCTCAGCTTCTTTTTATTAGTGCACATCCCAGAACTTTAAAAAAATAGCTTCTAGACGCTTTGACCTTTTGTTTCGAAATTTTCACAAATGATTGACAATGTGTTTATCTTGTTTTTGGTTGAATAGTGTTACAGCAATCGTACAGACAACTAGACTGGGTGTTAATTCATGCATAATCTTGAAGTAGTGAAATTTGAGCTGCTGCCCTGCAAAATTGACAACTGGTAGACAGTTTTCAAGACGGCACTTTTTTCATAGTAAACAGATGTACCCAAAAACCAACTTTGACAGGAAACAGAAGCATGGCTTAGAAGCTAATTTGTGTTAAATCACTTTTGACCAAAAAAGCACATTTTTGTGCATAATCATACTACAGTGTTCATAAAAAAAAAATACTAACAAAATTTTTAAATTCATACAATAAGCTTTCCGAAAATATATAGTTTTGTGGACAAGGAAGGTTATCTTGGTTTCCTAATTAACTAATTAAAATACCTGTCAGGTAAACTGCATCTCTACCTGAAATGACATACTTAGATTGCTTAGATTACATTACCAAACTGTTTCAATTCTATGAATTATATTATTTTGAGTAAGGATAAGACCCTTTATCGGGTCGTTCCGCCCCATAGACATCCATATATTTCAGCAACCAACAACACGAAAAGTTCGATTATCAGGCAGGGTTATAAGGCCCCAGTGTTCAAAAACATGTCTCTGCATTGAGTGATTGTCTTCTGATCGATACGTACATTTTTCCCCCAATCAGGCAAATTCTCCAGATTTGAAGGTAACATTTTGGGAATAGTGCCTTGCTGACAGTCATTCTTGAAAAGCGGCCTCGGAGGGCAGTTGAACTATCATGATTTTAAAAAAACAATACACTTTACTTACCGCCAGAGGCACTCTGTGAATGCGACAGAAGAACTGAAGACAGAAACAATAACAGTAAAAACATTTTTACGGTTCCATTCGGAATTTGTACATGTTGAATTGATATCTAAGACATACTAAAATATGTACAACGCGACAGGCATACTACTCTTGTTCGAAGCGCGCGCATTTTGTAAACATGCGCACTTCCTGTCTATCTCGCGGTGCATCACGGGAATCTAAATTGAAGGTTTTTTATTTCTAGGTAACTCACCGGAAATAATATACTTCAAGGTAGCCTAGATACCGTCATAAAATCGCAGTAGTGGCTCTGAAAAAAGGCTAGACACAGTCTATATTTCAACAATATTATCGTGAAGCGGGCGGATAGATGTTAGGTGCGGGTTTAGTGCAAAATTGTTGACATAGGTGGCGCTTTTTCGTGTTTTGCGTTGTGCCTCCGTGTGGTGCGCCGACCTGACATGAGGCCCATGGCTGAGGCCGGTAATGGAAGCGAATTTGTTTAAAAGTCTCTTTAGAAATCTCACATTCACACGCTCTATGTAGACTCAAAGAACATAAAAAACGTACATCATTGTTCTGTCATGATTGTCATTATTAATTATTATGTTAGTATGTATATGTTTGATCGTGATATAGGGAATTAGGTAAAAACGACCAAATGCGTTCAGAATCCGTGTTCCTCAGATTGGATATGCTATTTTGGTACATATATATATGTGTTATTACTGTAATTCCCATTACGCGTCTAGTTGAAATGCCGAGCTGAGTTATATCGTTTTCAGCATAATTTGGGAGAGGAAAGATTAGTCGAACGTGAATTGCCCTCGCTGTAATACGTGGCCAACAACGGGAACTTATTTTTATGTTAATTTTAAATTAAGATAATTATAGGTTTCTGTTGGCAGTGACAGAGGGTTTACTCATTAGTTTATATTATGGAGCAGAAGCTGCCAGTCCGAGACAGAATTACAGGATGCCGGCGACGCGCATTCTGATTAGGATTCGAAGTTGTTCAACCTGGATTCATGATTCTGACCACAGTGATTAGCCGCTAACTGATCGTTGGCAGAATGTACGCCACAGACGATACAAGTCGACTCAGGGAATGCTAATCTTGGTAGCAGCATTCTATCCGAGAACAGACCCTGTGAAGGGAATTCAGTTCGGGGTACGCGTTATACTAGTACTTTGCCCGAGCGTTTTAAATTTTAAATGCGATCTCAGCAAGTGAAGAAGCCCGGCATCAGTTATAAGTCCTCCTATCCTGAACCATATGGACACCCAAGACTCATATCCCCATTAATGCACATGAACTTCATTATAAGGAACCATACATATAAAATGGTTGTCATGGAAACACAAAACTATTCATTTTGACCTTTTTTCTACCAAATGCTCAAAACTTCGTATATTTAATACAATTTATCGACGAGCGTATATACAGGTTACTATATATATTAAGCTGTTGTACTTATTATAATAATATCCACTGAAAATTTGAACCAAACAGCATCAGTAATTTCAAAGTTATGGATGAAATCTTTTTTCTGGCCGTGATGTCATATTTTATCCATAGCTCCTTGCTTGAAACAATCAAAATGGTGGGCAACGTATACTAATTAAAAAATTGAATATGCATAGAACAAAAAGTGATATAGAAAAGCTGTAAATTACATTCCCCCGCATATGTGGAGTCCTTTCATCTGGGTATTATTATGCTATTATTAGCCAAGCCTTTCCCTTTAATTAAATGACCCAAAATAGATTGATATATAATTATCCCTACAACGAACTTGATACATGATTCAAGAAACTGAACCAGGTCAGTCAAAACGACACATGTTTTACCGATAGTATTTAATGTTCCAACACGTTGTTGAAGACATATGTATAAAGCTTGGTAAAAAGTCGGACGGATATAACTAACTAACAGCGGCTGTTGCGACTTGTATCACCTGTGCCGTACTTGAACCGATTCACCGATTCATGTGGCAACGGTGACATCTATGCGAAGATACGGATGTAAGGTATTTATTTATTTATTTATTTATTTATTTATTTATTTATTTATTTATTTATTTATTTATTTATTTATTTA